ACGGACAATATAGCACTTAAAATAAGTGCAAACAGATTTACTAACATTAAATACATGATAAAAATGTAAATGTGCGTCTGTCTCAATCACACCAAAACAATAACGTAACACTACTTATAGCTACACAACCAGTAGGTAAACTTGTCGAGAAAATAATACACAACAAACTCATTGTGTTTTTAAAAATAAAACCTCCAGGCTAATATTATTAATACCGTATGATAGACTATCATTGGTAAATCTGTTTATGCTCATAACAATTCATTAGTCAATAGTAGTACAATTTTTACACACTAAACCTGTTTGCACTTGTTACTAGGGTGACCACCCGTCCTCTATTACAGAGGATTGTCCTCTATTTGGATATTTTTTGAATAGTCTACTCTTTAGATTTGCTATGAAAACCAACGTTAAAACTTGTGTCCTCTATTTGTCATAATTTTTAGTGTATGTTTTCCCTATTGTCCTCTAAAACTCTTTGTTATGTCCTCTTTTACCAAAATGGAAGTTGGTCACCCTACTTGTTACTATTGTTAAATTAAATAATTAATAGTAATTTATTATTGCAAGCTTAATACTGTACAAGTTAGTATTTTGCTTGATTAATATCTGTTGAGAACATTTTTAAGTATAATTTTTATAAAATACATGCGTACAGGCAGAAAATGAAAATAAATAGTGATACCATGCTCAAACTAGTATACAAGTTATTTCTGACGTAAAACTTAGTCAATGCTATCAAAGTGGACACTAATTTTGCATTATATTATTAAATCTGTTTGCACTTGTTTTAAGTGCTATAATGTCCATAAATTTATACATGTTAAATCATTTATATTATTATTGCCTAATATTAAACAACAATCTTAAATCTGTTTGCACTTATTTTAAGTGCTATTATGTCCTTTAATTATTCAGTCTTTATTGATTATAATTAAATTGTTTAACAAATGATGGCCAACAATGCGGATTGGTTTAGTATTTGTTTGCGACAGGTATATAAACAGCGATACATTTTATATTTTATTTAAGTTTAAAATTTGTGATTAAAATTAAATTTGTAAATTTTCAAATTAACATTACAATGAATAGTTCACTATTTAAATACTTTGTTTTGGGTGAGTATAACTAAAAACTATAATTATTAATCAGTAGCGTATAATTTAATTTAATTTACCATGCAGGTCTGGTCATTATCCAGATAGCCAATGGCGCTAATCTAGATAAACGTGGCATTATGGATATTGGCAAAAGCTGGTGGGACACTTGGTGCAATGTTAATAAGCCAGCACCAGTGCAAATCCCAACTCAGAATGAACCAAAAATGGTTCTAATTGGTATAAACCTAGTTAAATATATGGCATGATAATCTAGATCAGCGGTAAACAAAAATGTATATTTGTCATATAAAAAATTGTAAACTACATTGTAATTTTATAAGAGTGTCTAACGTTGAACTAGTTATTGTGTCACTGTTATTGTGAAAAATAACATGCCTCATCTAATATTTTTACTCATGGTAGGAGTGACGCCTTTTGTGAACACGACGGTCGCCGAGAGCCGAATGGCAGAGTGCGGGCAAATGGGCGACAGTCGGGACACCATTTATATTGGCGAAGAGCTAACTGATATACCCCTAGCCTTAACCTGTAACGGCTATTTCCATCAGCCCGCTTTCTCGGCAAACAGTTTACGGCCGAAACGGTGGCCAACATTACGACCCACTGTTCGCTGAAGACTATGCGCAACAATCCGATGGCCAATCAGTCCGATCTGATCACTCGTATGGGCACAACCGGCGCACAGTTTGTACGGAAGGGCACAATTGGCGACTGGAGGCGACACATGACTGACACACAGTCGGCACTGTTTGACGAACGCTTTGGGCAACAGTTGCGGGCCATTGGGCTTCGGCTGTGCGACGACGCGCTCACCGCCGAGCGCTGTATGCGAGAAACCGGACGTATTATTAATAATGTTTAACATATTATTATTTATCAAATATGTAACATTTAATTTTTAATTATAATTAATTTTTTTTAATTGACGTCAAAAATTGCTTATTACTTAAATGTTAATAACTGTAAACCTTAAGTTAAAACACTCTAAGTTGGGTCCCTTTTTAGTAAAAACTTAAGTTACGTAATTTAAACTATACTATCATATTCAGAATGATAAAATAATAAAATCAATCGCAAAAAAATCTGCCAATGGCCATTGTACATAATTAAAATTAGCTAATTTAGTTTAACAAATTGTAGAAAACATTTTAATTTTGGCGGTTATAGTGTTGTAAAAATAACTAGAATTGTATTCATAACTTGGTCATAGTATTTATTTATCATACTATGAATGAAACTAATTACTATTGAATTGCAATCATTGTAAATTAATCAATGAAAAATAAATTATCATTGAGTGATGATCACACAGTACAATATAGCTGTTATGAATAATAAACTATGACCAAGTTATGAATACAATTCTGGTTATTTTTACAACACTATAACCGCCAAAATTAAAATGTTTTCTACAATTTGTTAAACTAAATTAGCTAATTTTAATTATGTACAATGGCCATTGGCAGAATTTTTTGCAATTGATTTTATTATTTTATCATTCTGAATATGATAGTATAGTTTAAATTACGTAACTTGAGTTTTTACTAAAAAGGGACCCAACTAAATACAAACTTTTTAATTTTATATTTTAAAATAATATTAATCTTAAATCGAGTCAGAGTAAACTCATCTTAACAATTTCACCTTTTCTTTTAAGTGCTAATATAAAATCGTTAATGGCTATTAATTGCATTGTATATTTATTTTTTATTGATAAATTTAGGCAATTGTTAATTTAGAAAAATATATAAACTTTAATTTAATTTGAAATAATCAAAATTTATTATTTATTATGGCAGAGCATATATAAACTAAATGAACCATTAATCTAGTAAATTCTTTCTTTGCCCCAGTTGCCATAACCCGGATTCATTGTGACCACTTTAGTCATTTCTGGGTAGAGTTTACACGTTGTGCCGCATTGGGCACCAGTTATCTGAACATCCATTTGGGTTATACGTAGCGATCGAAGTGGAGTTTCAACACAAGCCATGGGGTCGTCGTTGGTGTAAACTGTGTGCAAGTATAGAAAGTTTCCTTTACAGCGGCCCTCGGTTATTTTACCATAATGAACTTCGTCGATGTTGCCTGTGTCGTCGATATTGTAACCGAATAACGTAAAATTTAAATTGTAATTTTTAATAATAACAAAGCTAATTTAGTTAATTTCTCAAAATTACCATACCGTTAACAAATGTCATAGTTTGTTGGCTATCGGCCAGACCCAGCACTTCGTGCGACTGTAAACTATTCACATACAAGTTGTATTTGTACGGGGTGCGTTGATGGTAATAGCCGTTGCACGTTAACGCTATGGGCACGTCCTTAAGTTGTTCACCAATATAAATTGCCGCTCGACTGCTTCCGAATTGGCCACAACCGGCTAATCTGCTTATGTTTGCCGTAGTGTTTACGAACGGTGTAAAACCTATACCATCATAAATTAGCATATTATATTTAAAAGCAATTATACTAGTATACTATCATGGTGTTATATATAAATACTTAATTACATACCCATTATAATCTCGGGCTGATTCTCAGCGCTAGTATCAGTGAATTTACTGATATCGATATCCAACCGATGCAATGATTTCTTAAAGTCGTCGGTCAAAGGGTGTGCGCAGTCTGAATGCAATGCCTCATTCATGTCCACATTCCGGATCACTGGGTCGGCCGGACTCCCGAGTATGGGATTTTTGACTTGGGGCTGGGGTTCGGGAACAGGTACTGGTACTAGTACTGGAGCTGATTCTGGTGTAGGTATTGGTTTAGGTATCGGTGCTGGCATCGGTTCAGCTGTTTGTTTGGGTACTGGTGCTGGTATCGGTACAGGTGCTGGGATTAGTTCAGGTAATGGTACTGGGACTGGTGCCGTTTTATTTCCATTATACCACGAATCCCACCAGTTTTTGGCCTTGTCAACAATGCCCCGTTTGTCTAGGTTAGCGCCGTAGGCTATCTGATTAATAGCCAGACCTGCATAGTAAATTTATTTTAGTTACAATTTGCTTATTAATGATTATAGTTTTTTTTAATAGAATAACTTACATAAAATAAAAACTTTGAATAGTGAACAGTTCATATTTATGGTAACTCACTAAATTGGTTAGTTCCAAATTCAAACTTGCATATAATATAAAATGTTTCAGTATTTATATATCTAATTAATGTCGCAACCGGATTCTATATTTGCTTGCACCTTGTACGATCAATTGATCGTAGTCATTTTTTTAATTAAAATAATTAATTATTATATAAAATTAGCATATTACATTTTAAAATTAATTATTTTTATTCTTGGAATTTACATTTGTAATTATAAATAAAAATATGTTTTACACTAAATACTATAATATAGTAAATCGTATCTTCAGTGTACTATTAATTAATTAACTAACATTGATTAATTTATTAAAACACATGTTAATTATTACTAAACATACTAAACTGACAGAGTATAATGATCTATTGCAAAAATTTAACAATCTAATTTACTTATAAATAATATTCATAATATACTGTATGTAATTACGGACATATGATCGCACTCACGATCATCAGGATTTAAAATGCACTGCAAACAGATTTAGTGTTAGGATATAATCTTAACAATAGTTAATTTGTAAAGTATATAAAGGCTCAAATCTATTATAACATCTATCTTGAAGTTTCAAGTTATAAATAAATATTTAGAAAATCTAATTATAAATTCTATAAAACAATGAATTGTTTAGTATTTACAACATTTATTATTTGTAAGTATTTAATTGTAAAACTTTCATGATTTATCAACATTTTTATAATATTAAAGATTTTTATATTAAATTCAATAATTAGGCCTGACCATTACCAATATTGTCCACGGTTTTTATATTGATGATTGCGTTCTACGTGGTAATTGTCATATACCAGAGCAATCACCCAACAAACTGAGCGTCGATTTGGATCAGTTACTGAAGGCTGACTGTCGGCATCCATTGCCCACCGATTATAAGCAAACGCTGCGCCGATTGGACGTCGATTTAAGGGAATTCCTGGTTAAGGATCGCCGCAATCGTAACCACACAGAAATCATATTGGGTTAGCATAATTACATGGTAATAAAATAACAAATTAACCCTAATGGGACATGTATATTTATAAACTAGCATCTAGTCCATTTGTGCGAACAACTGTTGATCTATCTAGACGCGTTAAATGCGAGCCCAACGCTGAGTCAGGTTTAACCGGGCTCTCAGAAAATCTTATCGGTGCGCCCATAGAGTTAACATGCAATGGCTATTATCAACAACACATGCCTACCCCTTATGAATACATCGCACATTTTCATGGCCAACAGGAAGCTATGGTCTTGGCTCAAAGCAACCAATATATGTCATTTAATAACGGTTTGTAAAACAAACCCAAAATGATAATTATTTACAATTTAACTAAAAAATTAAAAACAACTGTTTTTGTATCCAGGCAATATCATGGAAGTACATACGGGCCGAATAACTGAGGGTAAATGCAAAGGGGATGACCTATACGTGCAGACTGTGTACACCAACGACAACCCCTTAGCCTGTATTGACGGTTCGCTCCGATCTCTACGTGTGTCTCAAATGAATGTCAAAATTACTGGCCTATCGTGTGAGACCACGTGTTTGCTGGACAGTACAGCCGCTAATGTGGTTACTATTAATCCCGGTTTTAATAATCACGGGTTGGCTAAATAAAAATTTGACTCATATAATTGTTTACATTGATTACAACACCAATGATGGTTAATCTAAGTATTCAAAATAAATTAAAAATATTTTTGCATTTATTTATGGCTAAAGATTAAGTCATATAATAAATACTGTGTTAAAGCATTTGGGTGAACGAGCAATTGTATGAACAAATCTAAGTTGATTTTGTACAATATTCTATTATGTACTCAATATATAACACAGAGTATTTTATTTCAAATCTTTGGGTGTTCGCATATAAAGTATATATCGTATAAAATGACATTTACTATATGTCGTGGCTTCGGCTCCAAAATTTAAATCATTAACTGGTACAAGTACAAACAGATTTAATAATACATGGTGAAAAATGTCCATGTGTGTTTGTCTCAAGCGCACCAAAACGATAGCGTAACACTACTTATAGCTACACAACCAGTAGGTAAACTTGTCGATAACATAATACACAACAGACTCATTGTGTTTTTTAAAATAAAACCCCCAGGCTAATATTATTAACAGTCGTATTGTTAATACTGTATGGTAGACTATCATTGATAAAACTGTTAATGCTCATAACAATACATTAGTCCATAGTAGTACAATCTTTACACACTAAACCTGTTTGCACTTGTCAATATTTTTAAATTAAATAATTAATGGTAATTTATTATTGCAAGCTTAATTACATGTACAAGAATGTACAAGTTAGTATTATTCTTGATTAATATTTGTTGAGAACATTTTTAAGTATAATTTTTAAAAAAATCATGCGTACAGGGAGCAATAAAAATAGATATTGATACCAAGCTCAAACTAGTATACAAGTTATTTCTGACGTAAAACAGTCAATGTTATTAAACTGGACACTAATTTTGCACCATAATATTAAATCTGTTTGCACTTGGTTTAAGTGCTATAATGTCCATAAATTTATACATGTTAAATCATTTATATTATTATTTGCTAATATTAAACAATAATCTTAAATCTGTTTGCACTTATTTTAAGTGCTTTATGGTCCGTGAATACTTTTATTATTCAGTGTTTATTAATTATAATTAAATTGTTTAACAAATATAAATGTAAAATAATGTATTCAATAAATGATCTGGTGGATTGGTTTAGTATTTGCTTAGGGCAGGTATATAAACAGCGATATATTTTATATTTTATTTAAGTTCAAAATTTGTGATTAAAATTAAATTTGTAAATTTGCAAATTAACACTATAATGAATAGTTCACTATTTAAATACTTTGTTTTGGGTGAGTATAACTAAAAATTATAATTATTGATCACTAGCATATAATTTAATTAAATTTACCATGCAGGTCTGGTCATTAACCAAATAGCCAATGGCGCTAATCTAGATAAACGTGGCATTATGGATATTGGCAAAAGCTGGTGGGACACTTGGTGCAATTTTGACAAGCCAGCACCAGTGCAAATCCCAACTCAGAATGAACCAAAAATGGTTCTAATTGGTATAAACCTTGTTTAGATTTCTAATTTAGATCAGCGGTGAACATAAATGTATACATGCAAAATATTGTAAACTACATTGTAATTTTATACGAGTGTTCAATGTTGATATAATTCACAATTATTGTAATAATAACATGCTTAATATAATATGTTTAATCTTGATAGGAGTTACGCCATTTGTAAACACGACGGTCGCCGAGAGCCGAATGGCAGAGTGCGGGCAAATGGGCGACAGTCGGGACACCATTTATATTGGCGAAGAGCTAACTGATATACCCCTAGCCTTAACCTGTAACGGCTATTTCCATCAACGCATTCCTTACAACTACACCCTATATGTGAAAAGTGACCATGGTGACACGACCGAAGTGCTGGGCATGGCCGATAGCCAACAAACTATGATCATCGTTAACGGTATGTGTATTAAATGTCGGCAAAGTACTTAGCAATTAATGTAATGTTAGTTAATTAACATTAACTTTACATGTTAGTTAACTTTAAAATTTTAACTTATTATATTTTATTCTTTTTTATTAAGGAACTAATGATGAAGCACATTATGGTAAAATAACTATAGGGCGCTGTAAAGGGGACTTTCTATACGTACACACCGTTTACGCCAATCTTGACCCCAAGGCTTGTGTCGAGACTCCCATACGATCTCAACGTATAACCCAAATGGATGTTAAAATATTTGGCAATAAGTGTGGCACCACGTGCTCACTATTACCACATGAGAGATTTAATAGCTTTGTTACGTATAATCCGGGCTATAGTAACTCCGGTCGAGAGTGAATCTACATGGAAAATGCAACATTTAATTTGTTTTTGCATATTACTGAATATTCTGATATAATAACCCTTATTAATCTAAATCAAAATTTTTGAATCGAATTGTTTTAATTATTAATGGCCATATTATTAAAATAAAACTTTATTTTGCATTATCCATTTTGTACGATTAATAAATCAGGAATAAATTATATTTATTAATTATGTATTCACTATACAATATTTCATCATTTGTATAATGTGATCAGTAGTTGTTTAAACATATTAGACATAGATAATATTTATCCAAATTATTATATGTTAAAAATTGTTGTATGAATGAAAGTTACATGACGTGGTTTAGTTTGAGTATAAAACTAATAGGTTTTTATTCAAATCATTAGAAACAAACTTAATTTTTGTTGATATGTTATAAATAATAATGTAAAAACATTTAATGAATAATAATTACTTTTATTTAAAAACAGATAAAAAATATTGCATATAAAATAATTTTGAATTTTGATATTATTATATTTTTTAAAAACATAACTACAATTATTATAAAATAACATAGACAATATTTATTTATTGAGCTAGTCCTTTATTATTGTAGCCAGGTCGCATTGTGACCATGTTAGTGGCCGAGGGGTCGACAGAGCATGTGGTCGCACAGTTCTGGCCAGTGATCTCAACATTCATTTGTTTTACTTGTAGAGATGTGAGCGAGTAGTCAGTACAGGCCAATGAGTTGGGGTTATTGTATACGGTCTGGATGTACAGGATATCACCTTGGCATCGACCCTCAGTTATTTCACCCTCATGAACCTCCAAAATGTTTCCTGGTTATTATAAAACAAAAACACATTAGTAAAACAAATTAAACAAAACAACAAATTAAATCTATATTTTTAAAATGTATATGACTCTCTCTCTCTCTCTCTCTCTCTCGGGTACATACCGTTGACGAACGACATGGTCTGCACACTGCGGGCCAATCCGATGGTCTCTTTCTGGCCGTTGAAATCGGCGTTGTACTCATACAAGTCGGTCATGCGTTGCGTGTAATAGCCATTGCAGGTGAGGTCTACGGGTGCGTTACGGATGTCCTCTCCCAGACCGGTGAGCCCGGAGTCGGATGCCTCGCACTTAGCCCATCGGGTTAGGTTGACGGTGGGTTTGGCGAACGGGGTGAATCCTAATTCAATGTCATTATGGCCGTTAGATTTATTACCATTCAATAATAATCTAGATTAATTACATACCAGTTAGCACTTCGGTGTGATTAGGGTTGTTATTATATGGATCGAGGAGGAAAAAATCGTCGGCGTCGACCTCTAGTCGGCTCAAAGTATTCTTGTATTCGCTAGACAAGGGGTGTTTGCAGTCAGCCTTTAGTGTTTCATCCAGATCAACTTTCAGGGTTGCCGGTGCCTCGCCATTGCGAGGTGTGGGGGGTTGGGGTGCCGGTGGCTGGGGAACTGGCGCCGGTACCGGTACAGGTACGGGTGCTGGCACTGGGACGGGCACAGGTGATGGGTATTGAATAGGCTCCTCCTGTTTGGGTGGCAATTGTTGTGGTCTCGGGTGGAAAATATGCAGCGGGTCTAATATATTGCCAATCAAGGGTATTAAACCTCGTTTGTTTATGTTAGCACCATGTGCTACGTGGACGACGGCCAGGCCTGATGATAATTTTTAAGTTAATTAAAATGTTAATATTTAAATAACATGATAGTTTATTTTTAAAATAATACTTACAGGCGATTAAAGCGGCGAGTATCGAACAGTTCATTATTAGTTTATTTAATTAAACTTGGTATCTAACTAGTTTAGATTGGTGTTTTATGAAAATGTAATGCGTTTATATACTTTTACAAATGTAATGTAAATGATGCACCAGGATACTAAATCTGGTTGCATTGTCTGGCGGTCAATTGAACAAGCACACTTGTATTTTAATATTAATTAATAATCATATTGCATAAGTTGTTACAAAACTTTTATATATTATGTTATGTTATACTATTATGTTATATGTTATGTTATTATGTTATTGCCAAGATTTAACAGATGTATTAATTAATTAATACACTATTGTCATGAGATTTACAGCAAAATAATCAATTATTTTATTTATTAATGTATTTTATTTTGTTTTGGTGCAACATATTTTTAAACAAATAGGCCTTAATTAATCAACTCTTGATTTCTGTAATTGTTATTGCGTTAGGTAAAATAAATTAATTGTTATATTAATAAATTATTCATTGTACAACGTATCTACTGTAAATTAAATATTGATTTTTATGTAATTACAAAATATAACATGTATTAAGTGCTAGCTGGTGATACCATTTATAATGTATAAAAATCCTATAAATAGTGCACAAACAATAACCATACTTATTTTACAGTTTAAGTAAATAGTCTGATCAGATGCGGGGTTGTGGGGACATGCGAAGTGTGGCCAGAATGGATATTATAAAATAAAATCGTGCCAATGGATACGAGAGTTCTGGTCATATTTCTGAACATTTAATATTATATATTATTTATACATCACTGTTAATACTATTACTAATGTTGTGTTAAATGATAATATTAATTTAGATTTATGTAATTTTAATTTTAATATATAGTGAAAATTTATATTTTTACTAGATATAAATTTACATAAATAAAATAGACTAGATATAATGTTGTGAGATGTTAAAAATTTAATTTTACGAAAATATGTAATTAATAAATAATTAATATTAAATAAGTTGAGACAAATATTGAGACCATTTTTATAAGTTAAAAATTGACTACTTTTGATTTAATAACATTGTATTTATTGTACAGTTTGTACAAGTATAATTATAATTATGCAATTTAATTCTAAATATATAGATTATGGTAAATTAAAGTGCTTTTATACAGTCAATTTCATAACACCTTTTGGGTCTTAAATAAGAATTACTAGTAAACTAGGTGAAATTTTAAAAATCTAATTCGGTACGATTGTGGGCATTTATGGGAAGCAAAAGTTGGTTATTTTAAAATTTTTGATTAACTTCTCAATTTTTGTTGAATGATGAATAATTGTTGCTCAAAAACTACTGTGTCTATTTTTGCGTTCTATATCTCAAAATGTACATAATGTAAAATGAGTCAACACGTGTATCAGGATTTTTTTAATATAATTAATGTAATATCAAAAATAGAAGGCTATAGTACCCAAAATTTCATATTTCGCATATTTACCATTTTTAAAACATTGTCAATTTTAGCAATCAGTATACTAAAATGTTAAGAATCTTGTCTAGAAAAAAAGTGAATTTCAGATTTGCATTATTTTATTGTTAAGGATACTTTTTCCTAAAAATTAGAACGTAAAGATTGATTAAGTACTTTTAGCAAAACAATTATTCATCATTCAACAAAAATTGAGAAGTTAATCAAAAATTTTAAAATACCCAACTTTTGCTTCCCATAAATGCCCACAATCGTACCGAATTAGATTTTTAAAATTGCACCTAGTTTACTAGTAATCCTTATTTAAGACCCAAACCCTGTTATGAAATTGACTGTATATTAAAATAAGTATATATTATTAAAATTATCTCAATTCTATCAATTGAAATTCAATAAATTCAATGTCGCACATTATATAATTAAATTATTTTATTACCAAGATTTACAAAAAATATATAATATAATAAGAATTTGTTGTAGCCAATTTTATTAATTAAAAATGTCATATATTGTTATTGAATGACATTATATTTAATGTACAGTTTGAACCAGAATAATAGTATAATTTAATACAAATATCATTATCTGCAAAAAATGAATTATATTAAATTAAATAAATTTTCATTATAAACATGAATATATATATTCAAACCGAAACGAGTGTCTGTTTATTGATTGGAGCGAAGCCTCCGATAGTAAAACCAAACGTACCATAAGTTTGTATAACAGTCGCAAACCTCAGTAATTCAAGCGATTGTTGAAATGATATACAATTATTTGGTAAACAATTTATAACTTGATGAATTACGTCCACCATTTTAGCATTCAAACGATCGCAAATACTAAATATTAGTAATAACTCAAACACACTGTACACACTATGAAACCACATAGCATTGTTAAAATGGGAAAATTGAACGGTCTTGGTGTTTAGAACAAGGCTATATATCGATGTTAGTATTATAGTTATTCTGCAAGTTATATGAATTGTTAGTACATACGACAGTTGACCATTAAATTTATTAAATGTGTTAAACAACACTAATATTGTTTGTTTAACAAAATGTAACTTGGTTATTTCTAGAATATTAAATTAGATGTATATTGAAACAATATATAGAATGTATATTTTAAACAATTACAAACTTACCATTTTTTAAATCCTGTTTTAGTGCATCCAAAAAATCAACAATATATAATGCAATTATTAGAATGATCATGATAATAATAGAACAGTTTATAGTTGAAAATAAAACATGAGTTGAATAAAGAATATTTAGTAAGTTCTCCTTATATACGATGTGGGTTGTTATATAAATGGTTATAAAAATAATAATGTAAAATAAATGCAAAAATATTATAGATAACATTTTAAAACTTAAACAAAATTTGACAATTGAAAATAGATTAATTAGCATTTTAACAAGTTCGTATCCACTAAACCCATTTAAATAAATCATGATTGCTATCTGTAGACACATTAATAATGGTGTAAATACCAAAAATAGCCAAAAAAATATTAAATGATTTGAACTTGTTTGAAAAAGTACTAATTTCAAAAACTCATTTATGTGGAGTATTCCCATTGCAAGAAATACTATCATTAAAATATAGCCATAGAATGGGATCCATTTGTTTTGCCCTATTTTACCTGTTCGGTAGTCTACTGTTAGGCCACCAAATGTTATACCAATAGCCCGAAGAAAACACAAGGTCAATTTTATCATAAACATTATTTTTAAAAATCTGTTTGATTACAATAAATTTTATAAAGTTTTTAGTATTGACTTGAGTTTTATAATAAAAACAATTAAGTGAATCAAGAAAACAAATAATTTATAACCTATTGTACAATCACTTTGTTCTGAAAGTAGGTATACAAAATTTTAATTTATTAAATTGAAATCTATAATTAAATGGAAATAAATATAGAATTAAATGTATATTTCAAAATCTATTTTGTTATTGTATGCAATTACTACAATTATTATTATAAATATCACAAATTACGGTAAAATTGTTACAATGAATGTCACACTAATAGTCTGAAGAATTTTATTTGTAATGATTATCGTAAAGATTCAAAACAATTAAACTTAAAGCTGTATAATTTCACATCATTGGGACCGGAGATTCAATAGTGTGAAATTATAAAATGTGAATTTATGGAGCTATATATTTTCAGAGTTATATGAATTATTAGGATTATTCTATATAGGATTGTAATTGTATTAGCTAGGTAACTTATAATTAATAAAATCCTTTGATTTAAAATGATTTAAATATCATTTAAATTTAATTTATTATTGCACATCAAGTCCAAATGTTGTGTCGTTATTCCATTAACATGGTCTCTTATCAACTGAAATGTTAAATAAAATATTCAAAATCATATATTTTCATAAAGGTTATTTTTTCTCAAACAAATTAATTACAACTCTAAATTGTATTAAATAGCATAACACTTCTTTTAATGCTAGATAAATGTTTTTAATTAAACGAGTCAATTTTTTGCCGGTAAATGTTAAATTTTATGGGATAAAATCTATCCCATCAAAGAGTTGGTCAAGAATAAGGTTAAGAGAACGCCCATGATTGGAAAGCATATATGGTACCCAATGATGGTAAGGGACAAAAATTCAAATCTTATTTAAGCTGACTTGTTCCACATTATGTTAAATTTTTATCGAATTTTATACAAATATATTAGCTGAAATGTTGCAATAAAAATGTGAAATTACAAGTGAAATCCTATGTGCATAATGTTAAGAAAATTATTATTTGTGTGAAAGTGAAAATATAGAATTGTGAAATTAACTCTATGTTAAATCGTATACCCCATGTTGGGTTTAGTGACATTGTGTGAATTTAGACAACTTGTGAAATAGTACAATGTGAAAATAAACGACTCTAAGTGTATTATGGTTATATTGTTTCAAAAACTTTCAGTAATAAACTATTTTCAATAATGTACAACAAAAATAAATACAATTTAAAATTATAATTATAACATGCATTATTAGTTTATTAAAATATTAAAGTACTAAATTATAATTTAGCTAATTTAGTATATAAGTGAATTTTGTAACAATAATAATTAAATTTAGTATTAATACAGTATTGTTTTTATATTGACTTTAGCCTGAACATATTTTAAATATTTTAATTGAAATAAATAATTAAAATTTACAAATATTACAACACAATTTATATTGCTAAAATGTTTTTCAGTTTTATCAATTTAAATTCAATAAATTTAATACCGTAAGTTGTATAATTAAATTATTATATCAACAAGATTTACAAAGAATTATTTTATAAAATATTATCCATCAATCAGTGATACCAATTACATTTATTAAAAATGTCATATATTGTTATTGAATGACATTATATTTAATGTACAGTTTGAACGAGGATAATTGTATAATTTAATACAAATATCATTATCTGCAAAAAATGAAGTATAGTAAATTAAATAGATTTTCATTATAAACATGAATATATTTTCAAACCGAAACGAGTGTCTGTTTATTGATTGGAGCGAAGCCTCCTATAGTAAAACCAAACGTACCATAAGTTTGCACAA